ATTTACGTAACACACGTACATACACATTTATATACCCTTATGTAATGGTATTGTGGTTTATCCTCCTCCAGAAAGTTTTCATACAGAGGCCATATTACCAAGGCCTGCAAAGACAAGTTTAACTCACTAAAGACCGTTAGGTCTTCTTGAAGCACCTAAAACTAGGGCCGCCGAGAGGGATGGGAAAAAGGGGCATACGTGTCCCGGGCGCCAAGATAATAGGGGCGCTAAAATAAAATCATAATGAGATTTTTTTAAAAAAAAGTAAAAAAATTGAAAAAAGTAAAAAAAAAAAATAAAGAAAACGCTAAGTATTACCGAAACAAAATATTCTAACATAAATCTTAAAATGCTTTTATAATTATTCTAAAAGAATTTATTAACAATTTTAAATAGCGAAATCAAAAAAAAACTAAATTAATTAACTTTATTTGCTAAGATTTAACAACTCCCTAAGGAGTGTTAAAATCTCAATGCAAATCAAATCACGCCTACCCTCAAAAAAGAAAAAAAAGTCAAGACTTATAACTTTAAGATGGTGTCTCTCACCTATACCGTGCAAGGTGATGTAGAGAATTATTTTAGATAGGATTATAAAACTCTGTGCGCAATCTAATATCAAAGTCTCAACATGGATTTTTACATCACAAAGATCGCTTACAAAAATGATTGAACTGCGTAAAATTTTAAAGAAAGCATTTTACGATGAACACCTAGTTGACATAATTTTAAATGACATTGCCATAGCATTCAATAGAATGTCACAAAAGAACTTCTTCATAAAATTGATGCCTGTGAAATTTGAGGCCAACTATTAAACTTTATTTTAATTGGCTAGCTAATGGACAACAATGAGTAATAGTAAAATAAACGTCTGAGTGAAATAGGTTGACAAGTTTCATTCCTTAAGGATCAGTTTTTTCATCACTGCTATTTGTTTTCTTCATTAATGACTAACCAAACTGCATTTATGAACATAGCAAGTTATACGACAACGATGGAAAAATCTTATGAGTTATCAATGTCAATGAATTTTCCTCTGAATATGAAAAAATGCAAACAGACACCAACAGCGCTGTGAATTGGTCGCACAACTGCCTTGTGAATTTCAACGTCGAGAAGTGCAAAGTGACATTGACGGTAACAGAAGCAATCTAGTTTCAACATGCATTGAGCGTGACCTTGAAGTACTAAAATCTAATAACCTAAAAGAAAAAGTCGACGCAGCAGCTTGGGTTGGCAATCGAATGCTAGATTGTCTCAAGAAGACATTTTGGTGTCAGAACTCTCTAGCTATAGAAGAAACTGTACGAGCTGTAAATTAGTCCGCATCTAGAGTTTTTTATTTGTAAATTTCTCTTCTCAAACGTGTCTTATAACGCGTAATATTGTTTATTACGCGTTATAGGACATGCTTAAGTTATGATCAAAAATTAAAAACTCAAGGCTTAAATATTCTCAAAGAACGCAGTGCCCTTATACTACAATTCAAAATTGCTTATTATTTACAATTAAAATTTAGACTGTAAAAACTGTTTCTTTTCTCTCTTCTAGTTACAATTAAAATTTAGACTGTAAAAACTGTTTCAGATTCTCTTTCTTCTAGTTGAAAGATCAAGAACCGGTAAAAGTTAAAGCTTGTGAAATAGAAGATAACATTTTATGTAAAATATTTCGCGTCCTAATAGTTTGAAGGAGCCTTCATTTTTTACTAGTGGAAACACTTTACGCTTTCTCAAACAATTATACTCAAAGGGTCAATAGCCTAATATACTATCTATATACATTCAAATTTAGCTTGTAAAAAAGAAAAAAAGAGTTTTTCAATATTAATTTCATAGAGTTTGTTTATTAATTCAAATCAGTGAATGTGTTGCAAAAGTGTTATTAATCCAGATGGATTTTTTGAAATTATGGATGGTAACTAACAATATAAGAAATTAAAAAACAGTCATTAACTTTTCTCATTGTACATGATTTTAATTTAAAACTATGCATGTTATAGGGATGTCAAATTGCTGCTATGCCCCGGGCATCATGAAAGCTTACGGCGGCCCTGCCTAAGACAAAATATAAACAAAAATTTTTTTGTTTTAGATTATAATATTAACACCAATTAAAAAAATAATACAAATGAAGGTATCGTTTAAATAGAATAAAAATAAGAGCAATCGAATTGGATTTGTCAAAGAAAACCGCGTTGAAGATATTTGAATTTTTTTTTTTTTTTTAATATTTTTTTTTTTGTTATGGTGTTTGCATCAATCGTATCAATCATAAGTTTGAATCATATTTGTCAAATTATAATAAAAGTATGATTGTACTGGGGTACTTACAAATAAACTTCCAGATTGTCGACGCCGGCTCTAGCTGAATAAACGATATTAGTAAGGAAGGAGGCGCAAATTTTCTGGTTAAATGCTCCTCCTCGGGGCGTTTTGTGATAAAACCGGTCATTCTTCTTGAACCACTTATAAAACAGGAAACTAAAGAGCCATACAACAGCATTGCTGTGCGTGAAGCCAAATTACCAAACGCTAGTGCATTTATACTTCTGCAGTGGTACAGGATCATTCACCTTCAAAATTAGCTAGGATAAATATATTTCCCGATACGTATACATTATATACGTATACATATAAGGATAAATATATTTGCAGATACATATACATCATACACACACTTATTCTTTACATTATTGTTTTATTTCAGTAAATTTTAGTAAATAAAAAAAATTAAAATCTTTTAAACCTTTGTTTTGAGTTAGAAATTAATGTTCAGACCATCCGCAGCTTATAAGACTCATAAAAGTTGACTTGCTCAATCATGCTTTAAATAGTGAAGTGAAATCTTTATTGATACTCTTTTCGAATATAACCTTATGCCAACTATTAACAAAGCATCAAGAGTACCTCTAAAAGCTCATTGAAATTACTAAATAATGTAGTAAAAAATAACTTTAAATAAAAGCCGTTTTCAAACAGGTATAATAAAGACTGATTTAACTGATCATTTTCCAACTTAACTCCTAGTAATCCTACCCTTAAAACTGCAGTATTCATGAGACAAATCAATGACAGTTCCATATGCCAGTTTACAAATTTATCAAATGATTACATTGATTCGAATCTTATATAACAGTCGTAAGAGTAGTGTTTATGATTTATTCCTGAACCAATTTTGTAAAATATATTAAAAGGCATTTTTCATTAAAACAAAATTGATAAAATCTGATCCATTTCTATCTCCATGGATGACCAAAGAAATACTAAAATCTTTAAAAAAAAAAACAGAAGTTAAATGAAAAATATTTGAAATATAAAACTTATTAAAACAAAGTAAGTTACAAGAATTATAAAAATTCATTTCAGTAAGCTATATATAAAATATTTTTGAAAAAAAAATCTTTTTCTTTATACACAGCTATATTTTTTATTGCAATATTTTTATTGTAACATTACCTGAGGTAGTACTTAAAACTTAAAACTAACAAAAAATTATAGTAAAGAAAAAAACTTTAGTAAAGCAAAAAAAACTATAGTAAAGAAAAAAACTATTGCAAAGAAAAAAAACTATAGCAAAGAAAAAAACTATAGTAAAGAAAAACATGCTTGCAAGATAATATATGGGACGAAAGAAGCGCAAATTGCAAATTTCTTTTACGTTAGCTTAAAGCCTTAAAAATTTATAAACTTAATACTCACCAAATGATACTATTCATATTTAAAGTAAATTGTGGGTCATCTGCAGTAACATTTCATTCATATTTTAATGAAGTTTCTCATTAATATCCTAACAATTTTTCATTTATAGTAGATTTATTTTTTGCTGGCTTTACGAGACAATATTTTATTACTAGATTGCCCTAAATTGTTCAAACTTTTAAAAACAAATTTTAGCTGTTGACATTATCACAATAACAGCTTAATACCGCTTTATTGATACATTTAAAAAAATGTAAACAAATATTTTAGACTATTTAGAATAAATTTATAAATATTTTGTTATTAAATATTTTAATGCGAGAGCCGTGTTGTTTTAGCTGATGAATTTATATCGATGTTGTTATAGAGTTTTTTTATAAATAGTTTTATACTCTGTAAAACTAAGTACTTTTTGAGATTTTTTAAAAAACTGAGAGAATTGATATCGGTAGATAATGGTTAAGATTTGCTAGTTATTTTTCTCTTAATATTGGAGTTACTCTTGCTATCATGAGTTGATCAAGAAAAAAAGATTTTAAAAAGGATTTTTTTAATGATATAATTTGAATCTCAGGTTCTTTAAAAGGTGTTTCAAATGTATGAGAAAATAAATCGTAGGAAAGATAAAACTATTTATTAAATAAAATATAAAGGTAACTTTTACTCTTCTGTTTTAAAAAATTATTAATCTCTTCACTTCTTGCTCATGCAATGTTGTTATGCAGAAGCAACTATTGCGTGGGTAAGTATATATAACTCTAAATAGGTTATCATTATCAATAGCTAGTTTATTTCCAGTTATTTTTCTTATATAAAATAACATAGAAGTAAGGCAAAAGTAAGTAAGATTCAAAATAAGACATTCTTGGGTCCTTAACTTGTTAATTTTATTTATGATTTTTTTAAGTTTATATTTTTAGTATTATTAAAATTTTTTACGAACTATAAGTTCGTTCTTCAATTCATATTTTAAAATAAAACTCTCTATTATGGATTTGTATTGCATGATATATATATATATATATATATATATATATATATATATATATATATATATATATATTTGTGTATATATATATATATATATATATATATATATATATATATTTATGTATATATATATATATATATATATATATATATATATATATATATATATATATATATATATATATATTTATGTATATATATATATATATATATATATATATATATATATATATATATATATATATATATATATATATATATATATATATTGTAGAGACGTATTGCATGATATATATATTTTGTTAGCCAGAGGTCAGTGAAGAGGAAGCAGAGGTAACTTATGGTCCAAGTAAAAGAAGAAAAGAGTCGTCTCCTTTAATTGTTAGCGATCCCGATCTTGCTAGGATTTATGCAGAAATGTCTGGTATGTTTGTTAGGAATAATATTTAGATGAAATTAAAATCAGAAAAATCTTGTAGCTTTCAATCGAATATTCATTAACAGTCAATTATAATTTTACCATAATTCACCTTTTCAATAAGCGATTTACAAGATGATTGACAGATATGAAGACATTTTCAAAGAAAAAAAATCTTTATTCAATTAATATTCTATAATCATTTTATAGTAAATGAAAGAAGTGAAGACGAACAAGAATCAGAAGAAAATGAGTCTCCAGTTGAGCAAGACTTATCGGAATCTTCTGGTAATTATGTTTTAAACGTTTTTATTTTATGGTTATAGTATTATTTGGCAATAATTTTTTTTAGAAATAAATTGTTTTTTTATTTAAATTCGTAAAAACAACAATGGTACAATAAAATAGTTGTACAACATGTAACACGCAATACTGTTGTGAGACATATAATACTGTTGTTTAAAATGAAATATTGTTGTGATATATAATAAATATTTGTAGCTACCGAAGTAGAAATAGATTCAGAAGGTTTAAGAGAATTGCAAAGAAGAAAACAAGAATCAGATGAAGAAAATCTCAGCCAAGACCTACTTTCTTCTCTGGATGATATAAAAACAGACGAAGAAATGGAAAACATAAAATCTGCAGATGAAGCTATAAATAATGGTAAGCTTTCCTAATATATTTTTTTAATTATCAAGTTTTGAAATGACAATAAGTTCAGATGTTTTTCAAATTAATTAGCATAACATACTTTGTTGTATACATTTTTCTGCATACGGGGATATAACTAAGAATAACGTTCAAAATAACTCCACTACATAAATAGTCAGAAACATGAAACAATTTTAAAATTTCCTTTGTCATACATGTATTATATATAATATATTAAGTATTGAACATAATATTATTGTGATTAAAAATTAAAACATCATGTGTATAACGCATTCAAAGTTACCCCATTTGTTGGGTAACTTGGAATGACTATTTAAATTAATATTATACAAAATCTATTTATTTAAATATTATTTTGAATTTGAATTATGTAAATCTTAGCCCCTATACTCATTTTGTTAATTTTCAAATATTGTCAATAGTGAAGGAAGACCAAGTAAAAATATCTCAAAAACGTTCAAAGTACCGTTCAAAACGTTCAAAATAGAAGTACCGTTTTGGTACTTCTATTTTGTATTTAAAGCGATTATTTGTGCAAAATGTTTTTTTTAAGCCGTGGAAAAAATGCGTGTTTACGTAAAAGTTGTTAAGTATACATATTTAATAAATGACCGTATGTAAAAGAAGACATATGCAAACAATTTTGAAAAAATTAGTTGAAAATAAAAAAATATACAAACAATATTGAAAAAATAATATATTTTAGTTAATCTATCAAGAAAGGTCATATAAGGTTATCGATACTTTTATAAATAATTTTCTTAGGTCGTATCGACAGGGCAAACATATACCATTATCTTGGTAAATAAGCCCATTTTCAAAACATTTTTAATTTTTAAATTTAATTTAGTTTTCTAATTTCGCTATATTATATGGTTTTTTTTAAAGCTATTCCATAAATTAAGCCGTCAAAATTTTATGCTGTATTCATTACATATAATTAGTTTACGAAACAGTGTAATTGTGTATATGCAAGTGCAGTCCCAACGGACGTAGAGCGTTTGTTGGACGTCTTGCGGATGTTGTACGGACTTGTGACGTCTATAAGACGTTGTACAGACGTCCGCTGGGGTTATACATTAAACGTAGGCCCGCAGGGGTTACACATTAAACCAAAGTGGATATATTTTTCATTTTACATAATTGAGTTTCATTTACAATTATGAAGTCTGTTTGATAATATAATATTATCAATACTGATTGTAATTTATTTATACTTATCTGGTTTAATAACTTTATATTTTGCTATCGATCTGATTTAGTTTAATATAATCTTTAAAAAAAAAATAGGATAGCGCATTTTCTATATCATTACTTAAAACTTATTTATCTATCATAAAGTTTTTACTACTTTACATATAATTTCTTTCCTGTTTGTCAGAAGGTTTTTTCCTTAAAATGTCGTTTAAACAAATATATACAAAAGCAAGACCAGAATAAAAACTTGAGAATCAAGTTTTTGTCGATAAAGAAAATAGATTTTCATTAAATCAACAGATGAAAATTATCTTTTGATTTAATAACTGAGCATAACTTTTATTTTTTGATCAACATCAGGTTTGTGAACAAACTTTATCATAGAAATATATTAGTTCCTATTAACACTGATTTCGTTTACTTTATGATGTGTTGATTATACAAATTCTTAACTTTTAAACAAAAGTTTTACCTCTTAACAGGTTTCAGATAGTTTGTATTTATATTATTGGAAATATCAGTAAAAACATCAACCGTTTATTTTACAATTTTCCTTATTAAAAATGAAATGCTAATTGTTGGGACATCATTTAACTATATGTTATCTCTGGCTTTATATTTGATTACTATTTTCTGTACTTTCGTTTGTTTTTTTTTCTAATGTTTTTTTTTTATAGCTTTAAGTTTGCAGTTAATCCGACCGTAATAATATGCTTTAAAGTTTTCTTTTAAGTCTTTAACTTCTCTTAGCGCATTTACATTTAATTTCCATTTTTTTTATAACTTTCCTTGAAAATTTTTAATTTATATGGCATGCTGTTTAATTTTTTCCACTAATGCCATTTTGTTTTGGTGTTCTCTGAAAGCGTTAGTAAACTGAGTAGATATTTTTATTATTATTATTATTTATTGTCCCGCCACAAACTATAGCTTGTGTAACCAATTCTGGTTTTGGCGGCCTACATAAAAATTTACAAATTATTTAGAAATAAGTTAATTAAATGGGAATAAAGCCAATTTTATCGTTAATCATCTTCAAGGTTTTCCGATTCGAAAAATTTATCCAATCTTGCTTTGAAACTATTTAAAGTTGTGGCACTGATTATGTTTTTAGGCAATTTATTCCAAGTGTTCACCACACGATTTGTAAAAAACTGATGACGCTGTTAATTGTTTTTAACTAACTCTAAAGTTATGACCTCACGTTCGACTTTGATTAAAATTTCTTCGATAAGAGAGCGAATTTACGTTACACCAATTTACAATATTGAAGCCATTTATTATTTTAAAACATTGTATTAGGTCACCTCGAACTCTACGGTCAACAAGAGATTGAATACCCATAAATTTTAATCTTTTTTTGTAACTGAATTTTCTGAGTGATGGAATCAAACAAGTTGCTCGGTGTTGTACTTGTTCAATTAAAATTATGTTATTTTTTTGGTAAGGGTTCCACGTCGGTATTGCGAATTCCAAATGAGGTCTCACAAACGCTGTAAATAATGTTTTGAGAAGTTTGCTATCCATATAGGTAAAAGTCCTGCTTAACATTTCAAGTATTTTATTTGCTTTATTTGATGCATACATAATTTGACTATGACATTTCGTCTTACTAGATAAAATAACACCTAAATCCTTTTCATCGTTTGTACTGAATATACTAGTTATTTTATTTGCTATTGATGGAATTGTATAATTATGATGTTTGTTTGATTTGCCGAGATGCATTACTTTGCATTTTGACTCATTTAAGTAAAGAAGCCATGTTTGGGACCATTTTGCAATTTTATGTCATTTTGTAATACATTTATATCGTTGATATTAATTATTTTTGCTAATAGTTTAGTATCGTCAGCATACAATTTGTTTACACTTTTTAATAGTTCTGGCATATCATTAATATATATTATAAATAAAATAGGACCTGGAACGGATCCTTGTGTTACACCACTCCGAACCTCTTTCCATTCTGATGAAAATTCTGCCATTACCACTTTTTATCGACGATTTTTTAAAAAAGATTCAACCCACTTTAAAGTGTGACCTATAATTCCATAATTCGACAACTTGTGAAATAAATATCTATGCGGAACAACATCGAAAGCTTTGGCAAAAACCATAAATACTACATCAACCGCATTAACTTTAGATAATAAATAGGTAATAAAGTCCATTGTTTCAAATAAATTAGTTGTGCATAATTTGTTGTGCACAAAACCATGTTGATTAGTTGAAATTAGGTGATTTTGTACTAAGTGTTGGACCATACTGTCTTTGACAATTTTTTCCATAACTTTACTAACAACTGACGTCGAAGAAATTGAACGATAATTGCTTGTAATTAGTTTGCTACCTTTTTTATATAAAGGTGTTATGTGTGCAGATTTCCAATCATCTGGACAAATACCTGATTGCATCGAAAGTGTGAATATATAACTTAAAGGTGTTGCTAGAACAAAAGCACCATCTTTTAATACAAATGAACTTACTTCGTCTGGGCCAACAGATTTATTTGGATCCAACTTCACTAATATATTGTAAACCAAATTAAAATCAAATAACGGTGTGCCGCATATATTGTTTGTACGCTTTTCGAATTTTGGTACTTCGGTAACATCGTTTTTTGTGAATACATCTTGAAAATGGTCATTTAAAGTATTTGCTATGTCTTTTGGATCTGTGATCGTACAATCGCCTTTATCTTTTAAGGAATTTACACTCGCCTTGATTTTTTTCTTCTGCTTCACATAAGAATACAAAACCTTTGGGTTATGTTTAGCATTATTGGCTAACTTTAATTCATACTCTTTTATTGTTTTTTTTAGTAACCTTTTGTATGTTATTTTACTCTGTTTGTATTCTTCTACCAGTTTTGCATTGGAAAAGCCACAGGCCAAACAATTGAACCAAAGTTTGTTTTTTGACTTCATTTTTATTTTTAGTGGCAGAGATATCCAGTTGCTTGACTTATAATTCGTTTTTACATATTTGATTTTGACGTATTTATCACACGCAATATTGTAATATTTTAAAAAGGCGTCATAGCATTCGTTTACGTTTCGATTTTCAAAATTAGTTTTCCAATCACAGTTAGTGAAAAAATCGGACATTAATTCATAATCCGTACTATGAAACATTTTTTTGCAAATTAACTTTGGTTGTGGCATTGATTTTGTTTTGAAATGAAATGTCAAGACATGATGTCCTTTTTTTAAGTTTGACAGAAGCGGTAAATGAATGATTTCTTCAATTCTTTTGTTGCATTCGGCTATTATAAGGTCCAGTGTACTAGTTGACGTAATTTTATCAGCTTGAAAAGTAAGATCTGTTACAAATTGAGTTAAATATGCATCAGATAAACAGTCGATGAATTGATTTGCTAACAAATTAACATTTGTGTCTTTAACTGACTTTACACCATTGTTATTCCATTTTATAGAGGGTAAATTGAAATCATCACACACTAATAATCCGTCATACTTTATTGTTATTAAATGTTTTGCATATGTGATAGATTGAGTAATTGTATTTATGGAATCAAGCATGTGAGGCTTATAAATGCAGCCTAATAAACATCGTTCATTGTCTAATATGATTTCACACCATACTTGTTCATTATTGTTAGATAACTTTTCATCAATAACAATAACTAAATATATTTTACAATTTTTACATTAGTAACAACAGGATTTCAAATTTATTGTTAGATAACTTTTCATCAATAACAATAACTAAATATATTTTACAATTTTTACGTTAGTAACAAAAGGATTTCAAATTTCCCTGCAGACTTT